AATTATATATTTTTTAAATATAGTTATTTACAATAAATTTTTAATATAATAATCTACATAAAAATTTCTACATTTTGAAATTTATTTTATTGTATATTATCATTAAAATAAATGCATTAAAGAGATTTTATTTATACTAAAGTATTTTAATAATAAATAAAATCTATATCTAAAATTTAAAAAAGAATTATTTTTAACACTCAATCAGGTATATTGAATGATCTTAAAAAATGTAAGGTTCGGGGAGCAAATTTTTTTCTTTCTAAACTATATGGATTAATTTACAATTGACTAAACATAGATTAAATTTTTAGAATATTGTTTTCAGTGTTCAGTCGCTTATTAATCATAAATTTAGCCAAAATTGTTACTAATATTTTTTTTATTCATGCTTGTTACTATAGTGATTAGACACTAATAAAGCACATAATATTGCCAATATTTAAAAGTAGAGTTTGGGGGCTTCGCCCCCAAAAAAATTTTAAACCCCCCCCTCCCCCCCATAGATAAATCCTGGCTACGCCACTGAAGACAAGCAATAATCAAGGAAATTATTGTGAAATATTAAACTGTTTGAAAGAGTATGATCCATTTTTAATGGCGTATAATTACCAGGTAATACTCATTATTGATCACCTCAATTACAAAATTTAATGCTATCTGCAGGTGGAAACATAATCTTAAAGGTATCTTCAGAAATAAAGGATGCAGGTATTTTTCTATCATGACTGATGACACTAGTGATGTTAGCTCATATGAGAAATTTAGTATATGTGTTAGATATGTTGATAATACAAAAACATCAAAGGAATCTTTTATACCTTTTGAAATAGTTGAAGACTTAGATGCAGAGTCATTAACAAAGGCACTAATAACAACCTTAAAATAATTCCATAAATGCAATTTGCGGTTCAAGCATATGATGGTGCAATTGATATGAAAGGGCATCTTTCAGGAGTCCAGGAAAGATATCGGAAAAATCAGAAAATGGCTACTCTGTTATGCGCATAAACTCAACCTTTTATTGATCTCTGCCTGCAAATTGGTACCACAGTCTAGGAAGTTTTTTAATGTATTAGAAGGTATTCATGCTTTTTTCTCAAAATCTGTTATCCATCATAATAAATTCCTTGATTTGCAATTAAGATTAGGGTTCCAAAAATATTGATGCATTGGGTTTTACACGTTGGAGATCTCATATTAGAACGATAGAGGCAGTAAAAATGACCCCTGCAATTATTTCTTATCTAGAAAATATAGAACATGGTGATATGGTGAAAGCAAAGGGAATATTAATTCTTTTAAAATATGATACAATTATGTGTATGTTTATATTTCAAAAATTATTATCTATGTGTTCCAATATTTCATTTTTTTTGCAAAAACCAGAATCGGATATATCAACATTGGTCTTATTGAGTCTCTTATTATTTCTTTGTCAAATTTAAGAAACAATTCATATTTTTCTTCATTATTTTATATAATATAAAAATAACAAATAAAAGAACAAATATACCTTCTACCATTTTGAATGATTCTATTCAAATAGATGATATTGTTTCCTCTAATTATTCTGATTAAACAGAAACTTTTTATGAGTGCCATTTTTTTTATCCAATTTTGGATATGATGAAATGAATTTAAAAAAAATATTTTGTCAAGAAAACACAGATATATTAATAGCTATAAGTGCTTTACATCCCTCCTCCCCCCTTTTTTCAAATAGTGATATCATTAAATCATTTATTTACATTATAATCTTCCTGATCCAATGGAAGAATAGGCATTATTAGAGGTCTATATTTTAACTTATACGAACTTATGTGTAATCAATAATAGATTTGATAAAAATCGTACCCATAGATATATTCCCTCTTATATATAATTTTAAGATTGTCTAACTATACCTTTTATTCCTACTCATGTGAAAGGTCGTTTTCAGCATTAAAACGGGGGAAAACCTATATTCGATCATGGATCAGGAACGATTAAATTCATTGGCTCTATTGAGCATAGAAAAAAAATATCATTAATAAAATTCCTATGGATCACATTATAAATGAATATAAAACAATGACTAACGGGTGTAGAGAACTTATTTTATCAAATAACCTTATAATTTATATTTTAAAGCTCAATTTAGGGCGTTAGTATCTGCTAGTAAATATATCGTTTAATATTTATTTTATAAAATCTTTAATCATTATCCAAAATCAGCTAAAAGACATAGTATTTATAAAAAATTTCTTTTTGAGATAGGAAAAAGTCAGAAACCATTTTCTTTTGATAAGACCAAATTTGTTTCTGCAAAAAAATAATTAGAAATATTTGAATACATTGACAATACAATAATATATAATATCTTAATTGCTTTCATCATATCACTCTGGTCCTGATTTCTAGCTACTAAATAATTTATTTCTAATATGGCATCCCTACCGTGTATCAATATATTTGCATAATTCTAATAGATTTTTAGTGTTTTTGTTTTATCAACTTATATAACATAATAAATTCTGATATGAGTTTACATCGTGAGGGTCATGGCTACAGAGTCTACATGACAGGATTTTCACTGGATGCAAACCCCCTTCAAAAACCTTTGCCTACCCCCCCTAAAAAATCCCGCCGCCTTCGGCGGCGATGTCTTTTTATTATTATTTTTACCCTTTTAATTTATTGGTACTCTTTTCAGAGAATTTATTTTTTAGATAATAAATTCAATTAAAACCTCTATTATTTACAATGAATTAATTATTATGGCATTATGAGCTTGCTGAAATATCGAAACCTTTTAAATTACATTGCAAAGGATAGCAGAATGTTTTATTTAGAAAAAAATGTGAATGATTGTTTTCAATATGGATTTGGTCGATGAATTGTATTATAATAATTCTATAATAAAAGTATTAATTTTTACAGCAATAAATTTTGTCCTATTTGATCTCCAAATTTAATAGATAACCCCCCAAAAAATTCTACCCCCGTTAAAGCAGCCTATTCCCTTCCCCCCTCAAAAAATAGGATGCAAACTGCTCCTACCCCTCCCGCTCATGTAGACGCACCTACAAAAATACGAATTGAATCGAATATTCGTTTCAATTCGAAATTTTATTTAACCATAAATTAAAAAAGATAAAATATTAAATTTATTTTGTAAAATTTAACTATGGATAAAAGACAAACAAATTTTATTAGTAAGATAATATAGAAGCATATATACATACATAGTATTTTTATATATAATGTAGTAAAATCAATATAATATTCATCTCATGTAGAAGATGAATATATCAACAACAAATTTTTTAAACAAAAAGTTTTTGCAATTTTTGATTTCTCCATCATCAACGACGGAGAAATATCTGGTTCGCCCGTCATTCTTGACGAGATGGCTACTAGTTTATTATAATTGTATATGTGTTATAAATTGCATATAAAAATAAATATTTTCTTCTTCCATCATAAAACAATTTTCGGAAATTAATTTTGTATTATAAAGTTATTCGAATAAAAACAGCCGTTAACAACAATTTTGAAATATAAAATGTTTTTTCATTATTCCACTAGGAAATTATATTAAATAGGAATAATTGCAAATAATTCCTACTAATAATATATGATTATTTTTCAATATTTATTAATATAAATTACTTTAATCGAATAATCTCGAATAATTCGATCAAATAATAGATATAAAATTATTCGACGAATAATTTTCCTTATTTCGAATCGAATAATTGTGATATTATTCGTAAAATACGAATCGAATCAAATGGAATCGAATCAAATCGAATATCTAATAACAAATAATTCGTTTTAGGTATAGCTGTGACTGTAAATTAACCAACATCTATTATTTGTGTGATAATGTAATTTAGAATTTTTACTCTTGCTGCTGAGAGCATATGATTGCATAATTTAAATTCGCAATACCTGTCTAGTCGTTTTGGATGATAATCATTTATAAATTTAATATCTCACAAAAATTTTCTTGATTACTTATCTAGCTTCCATCAAGTCATCTAAGAGGAAGTTCTAACCACCATATAGTTTTATGATGGATTGGTCGTTTATATTCTCTTCTTTAGGAATTGTTGATTTGGTTAGGCCTATAAATTTTTCCTTATTAGTCCATTCTATAAAACTTTGTCTAAAATAGTAAGAGAGAGTTATATTAGTTTAATGACCTTTTGTTAATGTTAGTTGCTTAGAATTATATTGCCTTATGGGGTTTTAAAAAACATTAACAATTGAGGCATATGTATGAATTAATTAATCGGTTTTATCACTTGTAATTCTTTAGACGCGAAATTTTTTATATCAGCAATTTAAAATACTTTATACTGTAGTAAATCGATTTTGTATTGAAAAATATTATTTCTAGAAATGTCTTGTATTGTTTTAATTATTTATTATGTTAGTTTATTTTGTATGCATAATATAATAAATGACAAAATATGAAATTAAGAATAATTGTTCAGATTTAACAAATTTTTAAAATATAATATATTGATATAAAATCCGGCCAAATGACTGGAAAAAAGGCCCGCAAATTAGAAATTTTGAGACCCCTGAGATTGTAAAGGCTAGCGACGCCCCTGTCCAGAGACCTAAAAAAAGTGGACCTAAAGATCTCCTGAATATTTATAGAAAAAATTTACCCAAGAGTGTTTTCACCATCCTTACTAAAATTCTCTCTATGTCTATGACTCATAATCTATACTCATAAATGGCAAATATCAAAATTAAAGATATTAATTTAAGTACATTTTTGGTAAAAGACAAAAGAAAATATTTACTAAATTAAAAAAATATCATATCCTATAATTTAATATTAAATAAATCCTATTTAGGTCATACAACTACTTTATCATTGTATATTATTATATTTTTTATTAATAAAATTATAAAATAGATAATTTTACTTGTGGAGCTTTTAAAAAACACATGACTATTCTCAATTTGGCGATCGTGAGGGAATCCAATATATTGGAATAATGACGATTTCTGATATATGTAGTACCGATAATATGCCTCCAATTATCGAAAAAGAATTTCTTTACCTTTTACAGTCAAACGATGACAAACTTTCTGCTATGAATCACCATTTTCTTATCAATGATTATAATGGTAAAGATTTTATATCAAACTTACCACCTGATATAATTTATGAAATTCTAAAATACTTCTCTCCTCAAGAAATATCAGTCAGAATAGCTACGTTGTCTAAAATTTTCTATCAATATTCACATAATCCCTTATTGTGGAAAGATTTGAATTTTGAACCATTTACTAATTTTTCAATTGAAAAATTACAAAGAATAATGTCATTTTCTATTTCAAATGTTACAAATTTCGATGAATCTGACACGATAAATGTATTTAATAAAGACAATAATAATGATAGAGTTAATGGAATAAGATCATTAATAATTTCTGGTAGAGAAAGCCTTGATTTTTATGAAATTCTCACATTATCACCTTTTCTATATTCATTAAAATACTTGGATGTTAGTTATTGTTATGGTATTAATGAATCTTCTGTAGAATTATTACTTCAGATCTGTCCTCAGTTAAATACTTTAATAGCAAAATCATGTATATCAATGAATGAACAAGCTTTTTGTTCACTTTCAGGATTTAAATTGCTCAAAATTCTAAAGCTAAATTATGATAGTAGTTTAACTGATTTGGCTCTAACAACTATGGCCACATGGCTAACAAATTTGGAAAATTTAACTTTAAAAGGAATCGCAAATATAAGTGATTGGTAATTCTTTACAATATTTTTTTTACTCCTAATAAATTTAACACTATTTTGATAAAATTATAAAATATCTTAATTATAAATATACCCCATCTTTGACAAACTATGTTTGCAGGATGTGAAATCGATATTTGATAATAGTATGAGACATGATAATGCCTTTTTAAAAATATCATATCATAAATATTCATATTTTTCATTAAATCTGTAAATATTTTTAATTTATAAAAAGTAATTAAACTATGTCAATCATTGTTAATCAAATATCTGACACTTGTAGTATTGATTTTTTTTATTAATTGTGATAGTAACCTATTTAATAAATCAAAGCAAATATTTATAAAACTATTAGATCATACAATCATGAGAGGGAATAATAGAGCTCTTCTATATCTTATACACTTCTCTTTTTATAGACAAATACAAATGTTATTACCAAATGTTACCATTTTATAAATTCATCCGGTTTGCAGAGGCCAAGCTTTTAGCCCTGGCTTGATTGAAAAAAATTTATTTTCAAGCTGAGTTGACCTGAGATTTTTATGGCCCCGCCTGAATTTTATTTTTGATGATTTTTGCAAATTGTTTAAATTGGAAATATGAATAGATAATGAATATCAAACACTCCATTACATGATTTTCAAACTGATTATTTATATTTATTTTTTTTAATTAGCTCGGCCTAGATTTTTAAAATCATATCATTTTAAGGTTTACAGGCTGGGTTCTATGCCAGGCCTACAGGTCTAAGAAATTTATTGAAAATAGTTATTTTTTATAATTATATATCTTGTGAATTATGCAATAAATTTTAAATATGAGAAATATTTTTTGTTATATTTTAATTATTAATATGATACATTATTTAATTTGTGCTAATATACCAATAATACATTAAGCGATTTGTACCAATATGAAATTATTTGATTCAAAATTTACAAATTGAATATGAATATCTCAGGATTTCTCGATGCCAACCCTTTATAAATGATCACTTCAGTGTTTATATCATTAATTTAGTGGATGGATCAATGCAATGATAATAAACATTTATAATTGATTTAGACTATAATTGTCATTGAGCTTCAAATTTCTCAAAATCATAGGCGCCTGCATAAATACTTGCTATTAAGGTTGTAGTTTTGGACATAAGTTGTTTTTCCAATTTTAAGATTTTACATCTTATTTACTCAATTGGTTATACTAATAATACTGATTATGAATATTTATTATAAATATAAATTCGATATCACTATCCTAAGTGGCATCAGTGCATTAGCCAAAGAAAGAGGCCAAACATTAATTAAATTAGAAGTTGATGGATCTTATATATCCGATAAATCCATATCTGATATCTCAAAGAGTTGTAAAAAACTTGAAATTCTATTATTTCATACGGCATGTAAATTGACTGATGTAGCTTTGGAATATATTCAGGTATAACCAATATTAACCCTGCATTCACTGTTCGCTCGAATTCGTGACAAATGCAAAATACGCTGTATTTTTTGTATTCGTCACACGAATTCCCGTTAACTGTGAATTCAGTCAGGGTATTCATCATTTTTACATTAAGGGGTGTGAATATATTTTTTTTCAAATTTAATATTTGGTTGTTTTCTACCACACTAAAATGTTGCATGAATCGCATTCTGCCTATTTTGCATGATATCTAACCTGACCAATGCCTTAGATGATATGTGAATCCACTAAAAAAACAGAATATTAAAAATTTTTTAATTTTGTCAACACTCAATCTTGTTTTTTTTTAGTCGGCAATTCAAAACACGTTTTTAGTTACTCAACATTCATTACAGTTAGAAAATCATATTATTTTGTCCACTCGTCAATGACTTCGTGCTAGCACTTATCAAATAGACGTTTTAAAAGTGTGCTCAAAAAAATAGGTTTTGCCTTGAACACGTTCAAATTAGAATTTAAACATTTCTAAGCATGCTTTTGTTCATTTGTTTACGATTTAAAAAAAGCATGAAAATAAACTTTTCACTTAATTTTATGCTTTAAAGTCATTATCAATTATTTTATTTATAGAATGTAAAGACTCTGAAACACCTAAAATTTGCTAGGTGCAAAAAATTTACCGAAATTGGCTTTCTCAGCTTTTTCGACTCAAATCATATGGATCGGCTGGAGGCCATTGACTTTTCGGAATGCAAAGCTTTTACCGATCTTGTCGCCGAGCGGATGAGTTTTAAGTTTTTTTTTATTGATTATTTATATTTTTTTAAAAAAAATTAGACCTAGATCATATCAGAGGGTTCTCGTATTAAATTGAGCGTTTGCTAGCCATTATAAAAAAGAGTTAAAACGATAAATATATGGTTAGAAATTATACAGAGAAAACAAACTATTTTGCTTTTTTTTAAAAAAAAATAATTTAGACGAAAAAAAACGTTTAACAATTTTCAGTTATACATTTAAAATACATTATTTGAGAAGAAAAATCATCGCCGGGGTGGCCTAATGGGTAAGATGTAGGCTTGGAAACACGAGCATGAACAAGGACGCGGGTTCAATCCTGGTAAGAACCATAAAAACTTTCAAGTTTTTCTTCGATGACTGACGTGTAAAGACATATGGTATGATGAATTTCGGAGCTTAGAGATGACACCCCGGTCACCGACAGGCCTGGACAGCCGGGTGCTAAGGATACCTGTCCAATAAACAAAATGAAGGACACAAATGAAAATATGAATATGAAAGCTAGGGCGTTCCCTCCATGCGACGCGCAGGGTGTAGACCTCCATCCTGTGAAAAATAAAGTAAAGGTCAAAGCAAAGAAGACAAGACTGGCAAGTTTGAATATTGGTACGCTTAAAGGTAAGACGAGAGAATTGGCATCAATGTTGAACAGGAGAAAAGTTGATATAGCGTGCATACAAGAGACGAAATGGAAAGGACAGAAGACTTTGATGATTGGAGATGGGTATAAATTGTACTATAATGGACTTGTTAGCAATAGGAACGGTGTCGGCATCATCCTCAGTCAAGATCTAACCTCCTCAGTTGTAGAAGTCAACAGGATCTCTGATAGACTAATGAAGATAAAACTCTGCATTGGTCAATCAATACTACACATCCTATCAGTATATGCTCCTCAAACGGGTTGCAAGGAAGAAGAGAAAGATGACTTTAGAGCTATCCTTGATGAAGCCGTAATGGAAATCCCTAAGGATGACCTAGTCATAATTGGTGGTGACTTAAATGCGCATGTGGGGAAAGCAAGAGATAGCTACAAAAGGCATCATGGTGGTTTTGGATACGGAGAAAGAAATGATGAAGGAGAGCACGTACTGAAATTTGCGCAAGCCTTCGACCTTGCCTTAACCAACACCTACTATAGGAAAAAAGATAGTCATTTAATAACATATGAAAGTGGTACTAGGAAAACACAGATAGATTACATGCTAATCTCTCGCAGAAGATTAAAAGATGTAATAGACTGCAAAGTCATCCCAGGAGAAGATATCGCCGCGCAACACAAGCTACTAATCATGGATTTACAAATCTCAAATAAATCCACTCAAAATAAGATAAAACTGGAACCATGCATCAAATGGGGCAAATTAAAAACAATGACAGATGCCTTTGCAATCAATGCAAACATTGAAACAATAAATTGCTCACAAGTCAGTGAAAAAATATGGACAGACCTTTCATCCAGATTAATAGACACTGCAAAATTGACGCTAGGCTTGACAAGAGGAGGCAACAAATCACACAAAGAACTATGGTGGTGGAATCAAGAGGTACAAACCACTATACAGGAGAAAAAAGCCCTTTATAAAATATGGTACAAATCCAAAAATGCAGATGACAAGTCAAGATACAAAAAATCCAAGAGATTAGCTACAAAGGCGGTGGCTAGGGCCAAATCTATGGCATACGATGACATGTACGAAGATCTACATACCAAAGAAGGGCAAAATAAAATATACAGATTAGCCAAACAGCGAGAAAAGAACTCTAGGGATATAAACGGAGCTCCGAAAGTAATCAAAAATAAAGATGGGAAATTGATAATAAAGGAAAAAGAAATAATGAATAGATGGAAAGAATATTTTCAGGAGCTTCTCAACTTTAATTCCCACATATTGCATCTCGACGAACACTCCCCTTGTCAGAACCTTGTACAACCTATAACAGAACAAGAAATAATCACATGCCTCAAGCATATGAAAAACAACAAAGCTAGGGGTCCAGACGATATTCCAATAGAAAGCCTTAAAGCACTAGGAGATGATGGAATACATCTCCTCACAAATCTGTACAATAAAATACTTGGAAATGAAGAGGTCCCCCAAAAATGGAGGCAGAGCTATCTAGTTCCTATCTTCAAAAATAAAGGGGATCCACACAATTGTCAAAATTACAGGGGCATAAAACTAATGTCACACTGTCTAAAACTATACGAAAAAATAATAGAAAAAAGATTAAGAGATATAATCGAAATAGGAGAGACACAGTTTGGCTTTATGCCTGGAAGATCAACAACCGATGCTATCCATGCAATTAGGCAAATGAGTGAAAAATACAGGGAAAAGAACAAAAAGCTACACATGGTCTTTCTCGATCTAGAAAAGGCCTTTGATAGAATCCCAAGAAAACTTATCTGGTGGGCGCTACGCCACAAAAAAGTTCCAGAAAAATATATAAGAATAATAGAGGATATGTATATGGGACATACAACAATGGTCCGTAGCACAACAGGTACTTCAGCAGGCTTTACAATAGCCGAAGGAGTTCATCAAGGGTCGGCTCTCAGCCCACTTCTCTTCATTACAGTAATAGATGTATTAGCACAGTCTATACCTCAAACAGTCCCGTGGAATATGATATTTGCAGATGATATTGTGATACTTGCCGAATCCAAGGATGAAATGAAAGAAAGGTTAGTGAATTGGATAAATATCCTAGAAAGCACGGATTAAAAGTAAATAGAGAAAAGACGGAGTATATGGTGATAGGAGGAGATGAAACGGAGAGTATTAATATAAATGATTGGCAGATATCCGCAATTGAAAGCTGCAAATATTTGGGCTCCACTATACAAACAAACGGCACAATAGAAAAAGAGATAAAGAATAAGATTAATCAAGGGTGGTTAAAGTGGAGATCTTTATCTGGAGTGCTATTTGACAAAAGAATCCCACACAAATTAAAGGGAAAAATTTACAGTTCCATAGTACAACCAACTATTCTATATAGTTCGGAAACATGGCCAACCAAAGAATCAGACGAGAGAAGTCTACAAACTATGGAGATGAGAATGCTGAGGATGATTGCTGGGGTAACAAGAAAGGATAAGGTGCGCAGTACAAGAATACTAAATAGTTTAAAGGTAGTGCCCATTAAGACTAAGTTAATGGTAAACAGACTTAGGTGGTATGGGCACACAATGAGAAGGCCTATGAACTACATAGGAAATAAAGTTGAAAGATTGGAAGTGATGGGCAAACGTAAAAGAGGAAGGCCAAAACTTCAATGGGGCCATAAAGTTAGAGCCAATATAAAGAAGTATAAAATAGATAAAAGAGATTGTACGAATAACATAAAGTGGAGAGAGATGTTGAAGGAGCTTACCACCAGAAAAGGTGAAAGCTAAAGAGAAAAAAAAAAAAAAAAAAAAAAATTTGAGAAGAAAAATCGCAAAACACAAACACTTTAATTTGGATGTACTATACTAATGCTTGCAATTTGCAAATTAAACAGAAATGTTTAGCGTTGTTTTTTTTATCGAACGATTTTATAGGTTAACAAAAAGAAATGATTAAAACAAACTATTTTGCGTTTTTTCAATGCAAAAACACGAAAAAAAATCAATATTGACTTGGAAAATATTTTTTTAAAAGAAATTTCCCGATTTTTTCCCAAATTTCTTGGGAAATTTACATCCCAGGTTTTAACCCATATCTAATTAGCATATAATTTACATTAATTAATTAATTTTAAACACCAGGCCTTGGCTTAGACCAAGAATCAGTAAATATTAACCCTTCATTGTACAGGTGAGACTATGCAGACCCCAGTCAATTTAAAAACGTTTACTTAAAATTTTTAGATATTTTTGCCTGAATCTTTTAGTAGCTTGACATTTTTAAATAACTATATGTGTGCAAAATTAGTTTTCATTTTTTTCAATGTTCAAAGGTTATAAGGGTTTTTTGGAGATTGAGATCACATAGACCCCACCTGTTTTTCCTTATAACTTTCTTTCATCTGTTTTAACATTCACACATCATAAATAAATACTTATATATATATATATCATTTTTATTAATTAAAAGTTATATTTGAACCTAAGATAAACATTTCTACATTATCAGTTTTATTTATATATTTTTTGATATCACATTGTAACATTTTCAAATAATTTGTAACTTTTTTGTCTCCCTTGACAAAAGTTATATAATGATAAAATAATAAATTATTAGGGCTGTGCCGATCCATATATTCACCGATCCGATCCGATATTGGTTCAAAACCGATTCGATATTTATATTGATTTTTACCACCCCTCTTTGAACCAAATGTAATTAAGAAATCAATATTTTTTATGCTAAAAAATTATGCAATTAATTTAATTTTTTTATTTTAACAATAATTTAAAAAAAATTATATTATAATAGATAAAATAAATATAATAATTTATTAGATTTTTTAAAATAAATATAAGAGCCTCTAGATTTTCAGGCAAAAGATCAGAATATTTCCAAATATTAGTTTTATTAAGAATGGCTGATATTGTTGGCTGACTTTCAGGGCTCTTTTTTTAATAAATTTGATTTGTTTTTTCGAATATTTCTCGTTCTTTTTGTATTAGCTTTTCGAATTCCGTTTGATGGAATCGCTTTAAATGTTTCCGAATATTTGTTATATTAAATGAATTTCATTATTCCTCCGTGAAATTAGAATTCTACAGATAACGCATTTTGCAAAATTCTCTTTATCTTTATCAAAATATTTCCATAATTCAGAAACCATATTTAAAATAATTCTTTTATTTAAAGTATAAATAATAAAATTGGTATTATTTTTTAAAAAAATTAAAAATAAAACTTTGGGTGTTTCTTTCTATTTTTATAAAAAAACTTTTAAAATTTATTTAAAAAAATAAATAACATTTGGGGTTTGACTAAACTGCGAATGCTAAGGTAAACTGCGAATGCTTAGGTAAAAATTTTATATATGTAGTGAGATCCATTTTCCTATGATATAAATAACTTATAAAAAATTAAATGTTTAGATATATTCAATAATAAAGAAATATACATTAATAGTTGAATTATCTTTTATCTCATAATAAATCGTTTAATATAATTATATTAAAAATGGCGTATTATTATTTTATAAAAAAAATTATTTTTTGTTTTATTATATTTTAATATTGTATTTAATTAAAAAGTAAGCTAAATTTCTATATTATCTATCATTCGACAAACACCTAGCATAAAAATGTATATAATGTATAAAGATTTACCATTTTTAGGGGAAATATAAAATTTAGATAAGGGATTCCGGTAATTTATAAATGTCGTTATATTTTATTTGTAAAATGATATATTGGTTTTAAGTATAGAATGGAGAGGGGGGGGGATTGGTGTATTTGTTCGAATTTTCAGTTGATTTCGAAAGACTTTGATTTGCTATTCTGAGATATAATAACTTGGGGTTTTAACGTCGGCTAATATCTAATGAGAATTGTTGGTGGGTTAAGCGTCCATGTATTTCTTTTTCTACAAATTTTGTTTTGTTAAGTCAATCGTTAAAGTAATATAATTTGATTGTTTAAATGACCATGAAAAGGGTCTTTGGATTTTGTAGCGAACTTTTGGTTGAGTGGCCCTAAAAAGGGCCATTGGATAAATTAATTCTGAAATAAATTAGTGCCTACTGGTTAATTTTTATGTAGGAACTATAATAACTAGGATCTAGTTCTATCTGATCTAGATCTTTTAGATTGACACGGTTTTTTAGATCCTGTAGGTTGAATTAATGTCAATCCACCACATGTCGAGGTAATTTTTTTTCGTTTATTTGTACTATGTGATTTAAGAACATTTAATATTATTTTTTTACGTTGATCGTCACTTATCTGGTCCCATTCATGACGAATTTTTGTCACATCATACTTTTTTGTTAAATAATAATTTCCCATAAAAATCTTTTTCTTGCGCTAAACTTAATTAATAAATTTTAATGACCATCATATGCACAGGTGTTGTAGAATCTCGGTTAAACTTTATTTTTAACACATTATTTAAAGATTCGCAGTTATTGTTAGTATAAAGATACGATATCACCTTATTTTTTAAAGGTAAAAAATAAATTATTTTTTAAATTGGCATCTATATGTTTCAATAATTTAATAAACTGTTTATCTCTACAATAATCTCGCAGTTTTTCAACCTTTTCTCTAAAGATTTTATCGCTTAATGAAAATACAAGTCCTTCTTTGCCAAAAATTTTAGTTACAATATCTTCCCTTGTCCTTGAATCCATTCCCTCTTTATCCTGTAAAAATAAGTTTAGATTCTTTTTCATATGATAGGTGCATAATATATGTGTAGAATTACTAAAATTCTTTCTTAACGAAGTTATTAAACCTAGCTCCTCATTGCTGCCGAATATAAGATTTTCAACATTTATTTTATTTTTTTTGAAGACGCCTTCCAAGTGCGAAAAGAAAATGTTAAAAGTTTCATAATCAGAGCTGCCATGCAAAAATATAGGATGATCCTGTGAATATTTAGACATGAGCACTTGATTCTTGAAAACTGTTGTCGTCACAAGCAAGGGACCTAAATTATAAGTTTTATCAACACATAATACTAGGAAAATCTTGAGAACATATATATTTAATATTATCTAACATTAAACTAGTATATAATATTAGCGAACATACTCTGCTGGGCTTATATCTTTTTTTTTTAATATTGGATATTTATGAATATTTTTTAGTAATTCATTTATCTGGTCAGAAAAATTTTTCAAATAACAAGAATCATTTTTATGCAATTCGTTAAATTGAATATTACGAATTTGTTTGATATCTCTGGGAGTAAAATAATTTTCTTCATTAGCTATTAAATCTTGGTACACGTCTTTTGGAGGCTGATGCACTACCTTTTCCTTAATTTGTCGCATTATACACACTGGGGTACGACTATAAACCCCCTGAGTAGTTTCTGTTGTTTCCATGTGGAAACAACCCTGGATATGTTCTTATGTATTCAACTATATATATAGATTGAATAAGATGAACTGAGATATTTAAATATTTATCTAAATGGCATATTCTTCTTTTATACGCAATTTTTCAATTTTGTATAATAACGATTTAAAATGACTAAATCCTGAGGATTTGGTTATGGTTTTGCTGCAATAAATATATGATTATATCGTTTTGTGGTGGACTTGCCAAATAAGCCATCCTTAATAACCATAGGACCACTGCTAATTGTATTATCATTGATATTTATACTATAATAATTTTTTGTTGTACCTGTGGATGTACCAGTCCACGCGTCACTATCATCGCTATACACTAATTTTTTACCCCTTTCTTTCAAAATCATATTCTATTTATTATTTATTGTAAATATAACATTGTTTTTGATACCGGTTGGTATTGATTCTAGAATATTTATGGGATTCAATAACATATTCATAATAATATCGGTGTCTAGAAAAGGTAGGTTGCTACTTGTAAATTTTAGATTAGTTAAATTTGTACTTTATATTTAATTTGCATAAAGAATTCTTTTGGATTTATTATTATAACGCGTGATAAAAATATTATATTTGAATAGTTATGAATATTAATTATGAAGATTGAAAAAAGTATAAAAAGGCCAATTTTTACCATACAAAATGATCTTTTATAATTATTAACTTTTTTGTATTTTATTTTATTAATCTTTTTTATTATTTTTACTTTTATAATTTTGTTAATTTGATAATGTTATAATTTTGAATAAAGGATTAGATTATGATTTTACTAACTTAATTTTTTTAATCTTTAATTTATATTAATTTATTTTGATTATGTTTTTATCTTATTATTTAATAAAGATTTAGTATCATTTTAGTTCTAACCTTTCTTATTTGACGAATATTATAGAAAAGTATATATAATCGAGGATATTAGTCCGATTTAGTATCATTTTAGTTCTAACCTTTCTTTATTTGACAACGATTCTAATCACTCAACCATTAAAAACATCCAAATGTTACATTGGTGTTGGAGAGCGGAGGAGACCGGCCCTTTACAATAATTCAGTCTAATTAACTCTGAAAGGAGATTCTAAATAAAGGGGGAAGGGGATGTATGAAATGACGATCGACACAAAGACAAAGAATTAGGTCAATGAAACATGGTGTCAATATCAATGGTCGTAATTCGAAAAAGAATAGAATTAGTCGTTTAAAAAAGGAATTCGTCACAAGAGATCGTTATACGTACAAGTGATCGATGTAGCTAAAAGAAATTCGTTATAAATTTTTATTAAAGATATACGGTTAACTATTATTTAAGTTGATAATATTTAGCAAAATATCAGGTTGTTGATTAACCAAAATCTTCATAAAGAGAAACGGCTTTTCGTCATTAGAAAATTTATGCCGCAATCGAGCTCAATTAGAGATAGGATTTTTATTTTGGATCAAAAGATACAAGAAATCATTATCGTATAAGAGATCTTAAGACAACGTGGATATCTGGACAAGCGACTAGGTAGAACAAGTGGTCAAGACGTTATGCTACAATCGTTAATCGTTGACTAATATAGCCAATTATTACCGAGACTTTAGTCTAATATACGGAAATCGACAATCATAGGAACAAGAATTCGTGAAAACAATCGTTTATCGCAGACCAATCAATTGTTTATCGAGATAAAGAGCTAATCGTGGATTACAAGAGAATGATAGAAAACAAGCTACGATAAATTGTAAAAAAAATTAAGACAGACTAGCAAAAAACAAGAGATGAAAAAGAAACTGGATGTCATCGATAATCGTTCATCAATTGTGGATAGTGGAAGACAGGCGTGTATCAAGTTCGTCAGTGGCCTACAGAGATAAAAAGCTGATCGTTGCACAGGGTGACAAGCGACAGAAGATAGAATTCAAAAATTTCAAGCGACAGTCGGATACAAACGGTCGTTCGAAACTAAGAATACTAGACAAGCAGCCTTCGTTAGAACTTAGAAGACAGCAAAGATTAAGAAGAATAAGTCGAGATCGAAAGAAGATTGATTATTCGCGGAATGTTGGGTCTAATTTAAGTAGGGAGGTGTTGTAAATTGTAAATTTTAGATTAGTTAAATTTGTACTTTATATTTAATTTGCATAAAGAATTCTTTTGGATTTATTATTATAACGCTTGATAAAAATATTATATTTGAATAGTTATGAATATTAGTTATAAAGAAGATTGAAAAAAGTATAAAAAGGCCAATTTTTACCATACAAAATGATCTTTTATAATTATTAACTTTTTTGTATTTTATTTTTTAATTTTTTTAATCTTTAATTTTAATTTATATTAATTTATTTTGATTATGTTTTTATCTTATTATTTAATAAAGATTTAGTATCATTTTAGTTCTAACCTTTCTTTTTGACGAATATTATAGAAAGATATATATAATCGAGGATATTAGTCTGATTTAGTATCATTTTAGTTCTAACCTTTCTTTATTTGACAACGGTTATAATCTCCCAATCCTTAAAAAACATCCAAATGTTACACTACTAACAATTGATGATAAATTAGTAATAGTTGGAGAATTATTGTTAACTGAAGATTGAAATATGAATGGTGAATCATTAAGGATAGCTGGCATCAAAACGGGTCTAGATGGGGAATTGATTAGAGGTTGAAAAATATGTGGAGGATTATTGTCTGCTGATGATGAAATATGTGATAAATGACTCATACTAGACAGGGATTTGATTGAAGGTGAGATAGGTGGAGAATCATTGTCAACAGAAATTGGAGAATCGAATAGTAAATCATCATCAGATAAAATAGTTGGTAAATAGCTAATAATAGGCAGATATTTGATTGGAGGTGGAAAAATATGTTGGGAATTATTTTCAACTAATGGAAATATAAATGATGCTACATCAATTCTAGGTGACAAATGACTAATAATTGGTGGAGGACTCGATGGTAATGATTGTAGGTAACAGAAATGATTTGGTTTAAAATTAATTTATCGGGGTAATTTAAACTCGACCACATAAAAACTAAGTTAATTGAACTTGTTCTTCATATACTTGTGTGGTATATGCGCTATACATCCCACGATTAGAATGGACGATAAGATTGAAATGCTTTTCCCAAAGCTGCACTTGATGCATAAAGATGCATCATTTGTGCCCAGCCTCCTACCATCAATGCATCATTTAAAATATGATTGTAATCAGTAGTGGAAATTCTTTCATCACTTATTCTTTTATTACTACTGTAAAATTTATCATCTATATCATAATACTTTCTATTAATTATTATTTCAATTGCTGTCAAGAGTCTCATGTAGAGATGTTCCTCCTCATGACCAAAAATTGCTAGAGACAAGCAACGATAAAAACAATTGCCATCCCCAATAACTTTTCTAGGCGAATAATCTTCTAAAAGATGCCCCTGAAATGATTTTAACAACCTTTGAGAAATAAGGTCTTCCTCCCCAACTAAAAAATTATCATTACATTTAGTTGATAAATTGTAATGTAAACTGATAAGGCTCAATTCATTTACTGCTGAATTATTTGAAAAATTATTCTGTAATCTAAGCAATGAAGAGCATGACTTCACATCTATCTTCTCCATCATTGCCTTTTTGAAATAAGATTAATAATTAAAATTAAATATATTTATTCTTTCTGATCATTTAAAGATAAAGGTCAACAAAATTAGACTGTTAACACTTTATAATTATTTGTTTTATACTGCTCAATCATTGATCATAATATCAATTGTAATCAGAGTTGTGCAGTACCACAATTATTTTATATCTAAAATACAAGATACAAACTTTTGACATTTTTAATAAGATACTAGTATCTGTATCTAAGATCCTTTATTCTGAAAAAAATCTTGCATCTTTTTCATTTTAATTTTCTTGGCAAAAGATACAGATACTTTTTAATATTCATATTTAAAATTTTACATATCACAGCATATATCTTATTTTCTTCAAGAATATTGTATTAATTTCCTTATTCTTTTCTGCCATATTTAAAATATATCGACGACCAAAATTAACTGAAAAATTTACAACTTATATTAAGATAAATGGATATAAATAACCCAATGAAATTAGTAAAGATTACATTTTATATATAAATGCAGGGATCAAAACTGAACCTGAAGCACTGAACCTTTATATTTATTCTAAAAGGTCTAATACTAAATTATTTGATAATTTTGATTATCTTATAAAATAATAAATATATTTTAAATACTCTTTTACAAATTAATATTTCAACTCCCATTAAAAATACTAGTTTCCCTATCTATAAGAATGGGCTATTACTGATATTAAAATGCCTGATATATTAACTCATCATTAAATATTTTATTAATTATTGTAAATATTTATTCTTACTAAATGAATATGTTATGTTCTTCACAAATAAATAGTAAAAACTATATTTTATAAACTATTCTAATTTTATTTTGAATTTTGAAAAAAAATACTAGTATCTGTATCTAAGATTAATTTTTTCACATCTGTATCTAGATTATTTTCTTACGTGATTATCCATTTCTGATTGAATATACTAAGATATATGACGACTAGAAAAAAATCTATTGTTATAGAGGTAAAAAAAGGTAAATGAATGAATGGCATCATGTGAAATATTTATATAAATATGATTATAATTATATAAATATAAATATGATTATAATTATATAAATATAAATATGATTATAATTATATAAATATAAATTAATCATTTACTATAATATTTAGATAAATCAAGATAAATAATATTTAATTATTTTATTTAAATAGTAAATTGGTATTATTGAATATCATTTGACACAAAATAATATTTTATATAGTAATATTAACAATATACTTTACCGGCATGATTTTGTTTTAAATATTATACATAGCCCTCCACCATGCGTATTATGATAATTTAGCTTATTAAAATGAATCTTTAATTTATTTATATTATTTAAATATATTATTATTTATCCTTAAAAGATATACTAACAAATGTGATTATTTTTTAAATTGACATATTAATGAAATTTACTATTAAAAAAAAAAAATTCTGATATATAACACTTTTAAATGTTAATATTTTTTTATAATAGTATTTTATAATAATACACGCCAACTTGCGGATTTAATATTATTGGAATTTAATATTTAATTATTAATATCTTTAATATAATTATATTAAAAGATTTAAACGATTTATTATGAGATAAAAGATAATTCAACTATTAATGTATATTTCTTTATTATTGAATACATTTAAAAATTTAATTTTTTACAAGTTATTTATATCATAGGAAAATGGATCTCATTACAAATAAAAGATAATATATAAAATTTTTACCTAAACATTCGCAGTTTACCTTAGCATTCGCAGTATAGTCAAACCGTAACATTTGCATTGTTTAAAAAAAAATTATTTAGAAAATATTATGTAAAATAGAAACTCACTGAAACTCGGAAAAATTTATTATTTTTAAATATCTTTTATTTATTTTTAATAATTCAAAGTTTCATTACTCAAAAGTTTTAAGAATTGCATTTTTAGTAAAAGGATCAGATCGGGGTTTTTACAGGTATCGGCCCGATCCGATATTTTTGGAAAACGCTAAATATCGGTACCGATCTGATATTTAATATTGGCACAGCCCTATAAATTATTAAAATATCAGTTAAGATTAACTTTATTTAATATATTTTCAAATTAAGAAAGCTACAAATTAATTTGATTATAGTTTCTAAATTTGGGTCTGAGGGTATCCACCTTTTTGAGAGATTTTTTTCACCTGGGCAATGAAGGGTAAAACTGATACTTATATCTGCTCATCCATAAGATATCTATTTGATTTTCTACTCATTGCATAGTTATAAGTATCTGATTTGATTACATCGAAGGGTAGCTACCAATCCTTAGCTCTTACCTACTTTTGGGTAAAATTATCAAAACATTTATATAATATTGATTCAGGTTTCATACCGGTAAGGTGGATTGATTATATACGTTTCAAATTTACTCCTTCTTTTGCATAATATTCGGTTACGATTTGTTAAATTATAATAGTTAGGATTTCTGAGCTGCTTTGCTAACTACCCCTCATTCAGTTAGCGCGAATTCGCGGCTAAGAATAAAAAAATACAGCATATTTTATATACTCCGTCATGAATTCATGCTAATTGTGAATTCGGGTTTAAGGTATCTCTTTAATTTTTCTGGCCAACCAACGATTAATTGCGATAGCAAATCGTTGCTCTAGGAAAATTCTTTGGGTTGGTCTATCATTTCACTGATCTAGTTCTTTTCAAAATGTTTGAGCCTTGATACCAAAAGAGTGGAGCAGGATTTGGAAACTTGTTAAGATTTATCGAAAAAAAGAAGAAATAATTTTTTTAATAAAAATAAAATAATCTCCAAAAATATAATTCTAGAAAATTTCAAAAATTTATCATGCGTTTTCATTAAAATTTTGAAACTTATGAAAGTTATAATTTTTAAAAAAGATTTTGGAGTATATATTAAAATTGTATTAAACATTTATGAAATGTAATCAAATAAAGTGAAAAAAAATCGGCATATTGCATCCGCGTTTAATATAATACACTTGTAATAATAGATTTTATAGTTAATTGCGGTAAATTACATGATACGAATTATAATATATGAATCAAGCTGGCCTCAATTTCAAGAATCGTATATTTATTTTTTTAAAAAATTATTTAAATATGTTTTAGGCACAATGAAAGATTGAAAAAATTATACTTGAGTTTCTGTTGGGAAATGAGCGATGATGGATTTCAATTTATTCTCAATAATTGCCCGTAAAAATGTTTAATTAATTTTAATACTACTACTACCAATACTCATGATGAGTTGCAATTTTTTATTGCGCCCTCATTTTTGTTAAATTAGAGTTATTTGAAATAAAAAAACTAATTATTTATTTATTTTTATAAGAAAATCACTATATTTCGTTAAAATGATATTTTAGCCCGTTTTTTTTTTAAAAATAAATTTTAATTATATTTTTATTGCACTTTTAAGGAATCTCGAATTGTTAGAACTGGCGGGCCTCAATCGTTTGTCCTGGTTACACGTTCCCGATATACCTGTAAAATTGCCAAAATTGAAATATCTTGACTTGAGGCAATGCAACACAGTAAAAAAAAACCCTCCTACACGATTTTGTTATATTTTAGGGAGAGTCGCACAAATAACCACCATTTTAACCGATACGATTAGGGATCTGCATCAGGCCTAATTTTTCAAACCCTCCCATCCCTGCCCGAAATATTTTTTAAAAAAGTTTTGTCGGCCCGGCCCCCCGAATTTATTTAAATATAGAAAATAATTTTTATAATTACTCAAAATAAAAACATATTTTATATGGCATCTAATATTTTTATTTTACATAAAAAATTCAATATAAAATTGATAAATTTAGATATATTTAGAAAAACACGTATTTTTTAAAATTTATGAAGATTATTTTTCAATTCAGTATTGGTTAAAATTGAAAGTCTCAGCTAATACTGACCAAAACAGTGAGTATGGGCCTTTTCTGATTTTAGGTTATCTCTCAACTTGGCTTAATGTACCACATGATGACCTCATTATATTAATATACTTGAAAAAGAAACATATCTTATTCGTTAACAGTCAGCCCAAATTCGCGGCAAAGTATACATAGTATGTATTTTTGTTATTAGACGCGAATTCGCGCTGACTGTTAACGAGGAGTTATGCGGTAACTGCTATATTTAAGGTTTCTGGAACTTAATTTTTAAAAAAAATTCCACTCCTTTTTTATTTTTTCCTAAGGCTATGCCCAAATTTAATTACATGCATATTTTTTTTACTCGTTATTTACCCTAGCTATCGATCGAATTTAAAAAATTTTTAACTAGCTATTTTTCTAAATTTTGAAAATATTCATAAAAATTACAAAAGATTTACTTATAAAAACTTATTTTAAAATAATTTGATCAAAAAATCACTTCTTCAAAATATTCAAAGATTTTTTTTCAAACTTTGTTTTACATGTAAAAAAATAGAAAGGTAATCAAGTTGACAATTCGTAAGTTCACTGAATTTAACAGAGATAAAATTATCTTTTTTGGTCTCTGGGTTGAGCTATATTTTATAGGTTATAACCTTGAACATTTAATAGTTTTCTGTTAGAAATTTAGTTTAACCGTTTTTAGGTTGGCTCATTAGCAATTGTATAACCACCCCCCTCCCCTTCCTTGACTTCACAATGTCCACTGATAGGTGGAAAAGATTGTTCAGAACTCCAATAATAATAAATACATCTGATCAATCAGAAAAAGAAATATTTACCTTATCTGAGAAACATTTTTTAGGCTAAGGGGCATATCAGTGCATTCCAGCGTTTAGTAATGGTATTTAAAAAATACAATTAAACTATACAATAATTTTAAATATTTTATTACCTTAAAATATTTTCGGAATTAGTAGCGAAATATCGACATTTTTGGAATTGATATTTTTCAACGCTTCTTAATCTGGCTTGCTATCTTTTAACATTGTACGCTCGAACATTCTGGGGCCTTATATACATATCGTTTTTTTGTAAAACTGTCTATCTTTTTTAAAATGAAAAAAAAAACAATAGTGGATTGACGATGACATTGTCAAGATAGTGCACAAGATGCCAAATTTGATGGTAATAAACTTTTTAGGATACGAAGTATATCAAAAACCTGGTATCGGAATAATCCATAGCCCTTGCCGATTTTGTGAATAAAATTTATATTTTTAAATTTAAATATTCGAATTGATAATAATACATAATATTTATAACTAGCAAAAATAAAATTTTAAATAATAATTTCATTTAAATATATATATATGATATAGAAGATTAAAACTGTCATTAAAGGATGAATTTATCATTATAATTTATTTCAATTTGTAATTATTGTAAAAAAATTTCGGTAGCACTTGTGTGCGACAGGACTAAAAAGATAACAAAAATCGGATCGGGCAGCACTTTCGTGCCTCAGGTCATACTCTAAAAATAAAACAAAAATCTGACAAAACTTCCTTGCGTCAGGTTTTACTGTAAAAATAATAGCGTTAAGGTCGCTTACAGATAAGAGCCGCCTGACTTAAGAAGACTATGGGTAATCCACTTTTTATATTCAAGCCGCCTTACTTAATAGGATTTTGGTAATTCTTTTAACCCTTCGCGTTTATAATAATATATAAAGATAACATACAATTTAAAAAAATAATTTGTTTATTGATGCTACTTTTTCTTACAGATTATTTCCAAATACAAGTTTTTTATATATGCGACAGAATATTTAATTAATATTTCACAAATGGAGAAAAATAATATATATAATAATTTTAAACAAAATAATATGATTTTACCTTTTTTATGTCTTATATCTTGCACATTTTGAAAAATAAACTTATTAAATAATCTTCTCTAATTATAAAAATAAAATATATTATTCCTGCCTGATCAGGGTTTCGATCCGTTAAGTATAGCGGTTCGTTTTGGTTTTTAGTTTAAAACTTTATAAAGGTTTTCCATTTCGGTTTTTTTGAAAAAATTTATAGGTTCGGTTCGGTTTTTAAATTATAACGGTTCTTTTCGGTTTATTTCTGTTTTTATAAATTCAATTTTAAAAAAAAATTTATTCATAAACCATATATATTAATCTTAGATAAAAATTGTTATAAATTTATATTTTTATAATTTCTTATTAATTTAACCATGATAATCTAATAGATATTTTTATTAAACTTAGTAAATATAAATTAGACAAATTAATTTTTTCATAAATAAATTAGATAAAAACAAACATGTGCAAATACAATGAGGAATAAAATAAAGCATAAATATAATGAAATTTATACTATTTATATATAAAAAGAAATTTAGAACTGATAACAAAATATTTTCTAATATTTCAGGATTTAATTTAGTTCTCTGCTCAGAGAGTATAAACTTAAGGCAAGAAAATGCTTTCTCTACGGACACCTGCGTAGCTGGAACTGCTATTACAGTTATAGCTAATTTATAAAGTTCTGGCATATTATTCTTTAAATTTTCCCAATAATTCAAAAGATTAGTATTTATTTCTAATCTTTATATATTATCAAATGACCAAATTAGGTATTCTATTTCTATACATTTATTTTGCGACTTTAATACTTCAAAATCATCATCTTAATTATCTTTCGAATCTGAACACATGCATAGTATCTAGAATTTAAATTTTGTATTAAGTTCCAAGTTTTAGAAAGATGTTTTGGCGCTCTCTTTTTCTTCAAATGTTAAAAATACATTATATCTTGGGTTGAAATATATAGCTGAGCAAAAAACGTTATTTTTCAAATTTATTTCTTGTGCTCCCTAAATTATTAGCAAGTATTATTAAAAGCTAATTAATAACTATTATATATATATATATAAGAATAAACTTTAAATTTAGCTAAGAATATTTTTGTGTGATTTTAATATTATATCTTATCTAATTAACTGGTAATTTGCCTAATCTCTATTAAATTGAGTATTTAAAGTAAAAACAATAAAATTGGTATTGATTGATATGTTGATAATATAAAAAAAATTTAAATTACGTGATACGTGATAAAAGCGTTTTCGCCCTCTGGTTGTGGATACAACAGAGCTACGCTAGGTTTTCCTCAAAAATCCATCAAACTGGATAGTTAATTAAGGGGAGAAAGATGAGGAGCCTTTCACACGTTTGTGGGCAAGCCGCACGTACTTGTACGCGCAACAGTCCGAGAACTGTTGCTTAAACGTCTATAGGCTAATAAACAAAAAGAAATGGGCAAAAACAAAAGCCTATACCCCAGAACTGCAAAAATAATTTAATTACTTTAAGGGTGGGTGGTGGCTAATTTTAAGTTTAACATCTAATGTAAAGCCTTGATAATTACTATCAATAATTGAGAATGTGTTCATATCAATTTAGATTAGAGTTTATTCATGAAAATAAGAAAAAGCTAATGGGTTTACCGCAGATTGTTTGAATAGGTGAAAATTCCAGTGAATAGGCAAAAGCTAGACAGTAATAGGCTTATGACTATCCAGCAACAAACACCACACAACAAAGGTTTTTTTTTTATTTTCTTTTTCCAGAGAAACAAAAATACTCTATGGAGTGATAGATAGATTATAAAGCGGAAAAGGTCTTTGATAATGATAAAGATATGAGAGAAAGGAACTATGACGCAAAAATAGGGAACCAGCTCCGTAAGTTTAGGAAATGGAAAAGTAATTGTTGGTCAGGATCAACAAAAGGCATTATGGCTTGATTGTTATATGATAGTCTATTACTCATAGAAAGACTCTACCAACAAAAATTACAAAACCTCGCCGCCCCCTGATGACTGGTTTCTCCATAAATGAAATCAGAAATTGTCAAAGACTAAGAAAAACAAAGCTCCGGGACTAGATAATATCACAGCAGAAAAACCAAAAATAGCACTTATAACGATATCGCTACCTATTTGCCCTCTTTCAATAAAATATGGGAGAGCGGAACTACTGCAGTGGGATGGAACAAATCCTACCTAAGTAACTACCCAAAAAACTAAGACCATAGAAATTAAAGGGTTATTGAGCTATAGCCATCACATCCTGTTGCATGGAAAAAATTTTTATGGTTCACTCAAAAAAACCACAAGCGTATCACCTACACCGAATCTTCCCCCTAAAAATACATAAGTATATACAGGCCAAGAAAAGAAAAATACAGGAGCCAAAAATTAATTCAGAAAAATAATCATGCAAAAAGTAAGTACAAACCCCCTACTTCTTTACATTTGTAAATTATAGCAGAGCTATTGATAATGTTAACCATGCAGCTACGTTGGAAAAGGAAAGACCCCAATATCTTCCAGATCCAAAAAAACCACTAATACATGCTTGGATGCTTCGAAATCAATGACGAAGAAAATCCTCTACCTCCAAAGTAAAAAGGAGTAAAACAAGGCTAAAACTCTTGCCACACCTAAATAATTAAAAACAAAAGAGAAACGCTGAAAAAATTAACAGTTTTCCTCCTTTATTTTTCCCAAGAAAAAAACAAGTAACCACTTCAAAAACTTATAGTTAGAACAGGGTAAATGTAGTCACAATGTATTTAGGAAATATACTTAATAATAAAAGTGCTTAATAATAAAAGTAGTTGCAGAGAAGAAGAAAAACTAGAATACAAAGGCGAGTGGAAACTTTTTGACGTATACAAAAAGTATGGAAGATGAGAGAGAAATCGGTGGGGCGAACATGTTAGAAAAACCAAAGAAACTGGGGGAGAAAAAATAAATAAAAAATAAATTAAAAAAATAAAATAAAAGAAATAGATGACTATAAACAAATAAATGTCTCATGAACAAAAGAGGAACCCTCTACCCCAGAAACATTTCGAACTCAAAAACTATGGAAAAATACAAAACATACCCAAGAACTAAGTTAAAAGAGCCAAAGATTATTTTCTAGCCCACATAAGAAACGCAAGTCACAAACTATTACTCAAATGCCATTAAAATATCTTAACTCATATAATGGGAAATGCAAAGAAGTGCAACAAACACCTAAGACATTGTATATGTAATTAAAAATATGGGACGGTCTAATTTAAAATTACTACACTTAGTCAATAAGATAAATAAAAGCTAATGTCAGTGAAGTAATTCACGGAAAAGGTTAAAGACAAAGTCAGGAGGTAAGTTGAGAAATGAAGAAATAACCTGAAAATACAGAAATAAAAAAATAAAAATTATGAGTTTTAGGTAGTTCGATTTAATTTTTAATAATTTCTTTATAGATTTTTTGTTTTTATTTAGCCTTAGGAACTGCTTCAAATTTAAGTTAAGATCCATTATGTCCTTCAAGTCTCTGTAGAACCATAATGTCTTATATTTGCAATATGTTTTCCCATTAAAGGAGTATAACCAATTAATGGCATCGATAACGAGGCTGTTGTTACTATGGTTTCTCAAAATATGGGCAAAGAAAGTAAGACGCTTCTTTTTTAAAGACACGTGAACTTGGGTATGATTAGATCTCTTCCAAAGGTTTTCATTTGAGATAATATTAGGGTAGAAAATTTCATTAATTATTCTTAGGCATTTATTTACAAACGTTTGTAATTTCCTAGTTTTGGTCTTGGTAATCTCCCATGTATCACCGCCATAAAAGAGAATCGGGATGATGGTTGAGTTGAAGATACGGAGTCTTGTGAAAACGGATATCTCTCTAGCTTTCCACAGTTTAAAAAATTTATAAAAAGCCGCCCTAGCGTTTTGTATACGAATTTTAAGTTCTTCTTTGCAACTACCTTTATTGTCAATGGTTACACCTAGATATTTAAAGGATTTCACCACCTTAACCACCTTTCCCCCGACCACCAAATTATTCAGAAGAGGCGCCTGAGACGAGGGCATTATCACTGTTTTATCAAAGTTAATATCCAAGCCAACCTTAAAACTAAAGGAGTTCAATATAAAGATCAAATTTTGGGTTTCTTCCAAACTTTTTGTTATCAATACTATGTCATCAGCATAACATATCACCCTATTTTCCAAGAAGAACGACTGACTGGACCTTAATTCTAAGAGATTCGCAGTAGCCAGCGTATCTACTATGATTTTATTAATAAGTATATTAAACAATAGCGGGGAAAGAACACACCCTTGTTTTACCCCTTTTTTTGTCCTAAAAGATGGGGAAACCTTATGTTTGATTTTTAAGGAGGCAAAAAGACTACTATAATGTGTTTTAAGGATTCTTATAATATTAGAGTCAATGCCACATTCGGTTAAAATCTTCCAAAGCGCATCATGGTTAACATTATCAAAAGCACGTTTAAAGTCGATA